TTACAAACCCTTATTTAAATATTTCCCGTTTTTATCCAAATAGGAAGCTCGACCCAGTGTTCCCACCCGGATTCCTGCTTCTGTGCCCCGTGGCAGAGTGCGGAGGGCGTTCCCATCGACGTCATCATCTTACCGGACCCTTCTGATTGGACAGACGAACTGACTGTCCTTTAACAGGAAATGAGTAGTAGAAAATAAACTAAGGTTAAAAGACAGCAAGAAAAACGCTTCAAAACAATACTAATACTTTTATTTACAACACCTAAATATAAGTGAACAACAAAACACCGGTAAAACAAAGGTGAAACACTAGTAGGACACTTGTAAGACACTCGTAAAACATCTGTCCTGTCCCTTTCTGAGGCGCCTCTCCTGCTGCGCTCACTTCCATCCTCATCACAGGATCTCGCGCCACTGATGTCTTGATTACCGTAATGTATTTGTCAAAAAGAGAAATATAAACAATGTGAATGTGAAACTATACGTACAAAGGATGGAGAGGGTGGCAGAGTGGCTCCGCTCACTTCTATCTCCATCTTTGGGGTGTTCTAAACCAGTGGGAGGCACTGTGTGTCAGCAAGCTGTGTGTCACCGTCGTTTCGATCAGATGGCGGGGCCGCTGATATTATATGTATGAGCAGCTCATCCACCTCAGGTGTGTCTTCCTACCTTCTCGGCGGTAAACAGCCGGTTGTCTGGCTGGAGGTTGTGGCCGAGGGAGCGTGGCTGCCGCGGTGTGGGCTTGAGTGGGTTTGATGAACAGGAGCTGTTGGTGCCACTGGTAGGAGTGACTGGCTCATCCCGGTGGTGGTGGTGCCCTTCATTTTTCTGTAGTGCATCTCGTGGCAATAGTGACATTAGACTCCCCCTCAGCAGTCGTCGCTGCCTGTGAGCCCTCAGCACCCCTGTACGTTGCATTCCATGGTAACCTGAAAAACGCTTAAACGTTCCTTTTTTGGTGTAATATCGCATCGACTGTAGATTTCATTGAACATTTGTATATTTTAGGATAAACAATTTATTAAAAATAAACTTGTATAATTTTGTTTTGTGGACTCACGTCCAGTGCCTGTGTTGTCTGAACTTGTGTCCTGTAGTTGACCGTAGATTGGTGGTCTCCTTTAATAATTCCTGGGGTGAAATTCCCTTAGGTGGCGTTGTTGGTCCATAATAGTAAAGCAGATTAGTCCCTTAGCCTTGCCACACTTACAATGACTTGGGAGTAATGAGGAAACAAAGGATTTGCAGAGATAATTAAATGCTGGTGTGATAATAAATGACCATTTAAAATCATCGAAACAGTAATGATACATTATTTTAATGCAGAAATTTCTTTGAAATTCGTATCTGTTGTTTTACATGCACTAACCTACAGGAGAATATGATACGTGTTTGCAGTGGACGTATTTAAGCCGGGGAATAAGCTATAAAATGTGGAGCAACACATGTGTAATTTGTGTCTAAAACTGTTTAGATTTGTATGTTCGTAAGTTACATGCCTCTGCTTCGTTTAGAGGAGACAGAAGCTGCGTACGTATGGACCCGTGCACACAGACATTCGTAACTTTTGGAAGAATAACTAATATGTAACGTAACGAGCTCCTGACCCGGACAGTTTTTAGCTAACTTTCGATAAAAATGATCTTGTAATGTTTTCAGGTGATTTAACTGTGTTAAAGCGTTAGCACTTTACCTTTCAAGCCAAATACTGCGAGTGTAATTTTTTGAGTCTGTAAAAGGACGCTAACACCGGTGAATTAGCCGTGCGCTGATATACCCCTGACCCGCTCAGACGTCCATGTCATTGTAAACATTTGTTTTTCGTGAGATTAAACTCATTAAAGGGTCAAAGGTTACCATCAATACTGTCAACATAGTAAAGTCCTTTTGTTCTGGCTTTCACAATAAGATATCCGGTTTTAACACCTAAAAAAGTACAATAAAAGCACTTTCATTTCAATTTGAGTGTGTAACACCACCTGCTGGACGTTTTGTTAAACTCTTCTCACGTGAACGACTTGCAAAACAGCTGTAAATGCATGAGATTTAACAATTATGCACACATACATTTAGTTTATAACAAATATAACACATGGTTTCGAGTTATTACAACTAAAATATTAAATGTATATTAAATGTATAAATGTATATGTATAAAATATATTCATTTAAAAAAATTAGTAAAATCAGGACACAACATTTAAAATCATCGCCTCGTCCCAGCCCCCATACACGGTGTAGTACCACGAGTGGCAGCTATCACACTGGACCCACGACACCAATCCCTCTGAGCTCACAGGCGGGTCAGCTTCGCTGCACCAGCCACGCTCCCAAGCCGGCTGTTATCACAGCTCAGGCAGAGACCCAAACGCAGATGTGAGGATTATTCCTCACATCTGCGTTTGGGTCTCTGCTTTAATGAAGAGGAATTCGGGCAGGCAGTGTCGTTGTCGGAGGCAGGAGTTCGGTACACGGGAGATCAGGGGTTCAGAGGTGGCAGGCAGTGTCGTTGTCAGAGGCAGTCCGGAGTTCAGTACACAGGAGGTCGGAGGTACAGAGGTGGCAGGCAGTGTCGTTGTCGGAGGCAGGCAGGGATCAGTACATGGGGGATCTCTAGAATCGACTGGGAACTACGGGGATACAACGCTGGTAAGACCTGGTGAAACACACAAGACAAACTGGCAACAAGAACAGGGAGAAGACACAGGTTATATGCCCAAGGGATAATTGACAAACAGGGAACACCTGGTGTGTGAGGAGACAGGGGAAAAACAGGTGAAAACAGGTGAACACAATTAGGGCGTGACAGTACCCAGAACCCAGGACCGGAAAAAGGGGAGGTTGGTAGCCGAGGGAGCACTCGAAGGGGGAGAGGCCCGTAGCAGATGATGGAAGGGTGTTACGGGCATATTCTGCCCAGACCAGCTGTCGACAAAGTCCAGTGACAGGTGGGACCACGGGCGGTCGGAGCTTGCCGCAAGGTCTTACTTTGGGCACACACCGTGCAGGCGGAGATATAAGAGGGCACGTCCACCCTCATGGTGGGGCACCAAAACAGTCTACGGATGAAGGCAAGGGTCCGGCGAGCCCCGGTATGACACGAGAGGTTGGAGGAATGGGCCCACTTCAGAACTTGAGACTGCATGGGGTCCGGAACAAACAGGCAGCCTGTAGGGACATTCCTAGGGACCTGGCTCGACCGCTGTGCCTTGCGGACCTCAGCTTCTATTCCCCAGATCAGGGATGTAGCCAGGCAGGAAGTGGGAAGGATGTGCCCGGGATCCGGAGGGGTGGTAGCAGGGCTGAAGACTTGAGAGAGGGCATCCGGCTTCACGTTCTTGGAGCCAGGGCGATATGAAAGAAGAAAATTTAAACGGCTGAATAGCAGAGCCCACCTGGCCTGCCTGGAGTTGAGTTTTTTAGCGCTGCGAAGGTACGCAAGGTTCTTATGGTCGGTCCAAACCAAAAACGGCAGCTCTTGTGCTGCTAGCTCATCCTTGATAATGTTGGACAGCCCATTAAGAAAAGCGTCAAAGAGAGAGTCAGAATTCCACAAACTAAGTCCACCGCGTAGTCTGACACGCTGCGAGAGCCCAGCTCAGCGTGCACTAGAACCATCTAGTGCACGCTGCTGCTCTCGGTCTCTTCTGGCCAGAGCTTGGGCCTCTCTCATAGCTGCACGGTCCTCCGCCTCCAATGACGTCCGACATCTCCTGAGCTTTCAGTAGCCACCACCAGTCTCCGATCCTTCACCCTCTGGTTGGAGTTTCTTAGGACCCTTGAAAACTCTGTTGTGGTGGCCTGCTTTTGCACTTCCTCGTTTCTCTGCCCTGGACTCCGCTTCCTGACTCACACGTTGACGCTTCCATAGAAGACACACAATGCTGTTCTCATTTACGTCATTTATTTTAGTTTTACATTTGGTCGTTTCATTTGAACATGATTGACCGAGTGGACAACGTAAGGTCGAAAGACTGTGCCGATGTCCCGTCCAATACAAAAGCCAGCCCCGGTGCCTCAGTCCCACCCCTCCTCTTATCCGCTGATCCTCGTCAGGTGCCTCTAATGAAGTGAGTTATTTCAAATATGAACAAAAAAATACATTAAGTGAATACACATGATTCCTACCAATAAAACAAATAAATGATTTGTAACAAAACAGAAAATATGGCTTCAACAACAACAGTAGTGACTTCCTCCTGTTAAGCAGAGACAAAGACCATTCACTGTCTCATGCTGTTCAACACTTAAATCACTGTTATTCTTCCAAAAGTTGAGAAAATAATTCTCACAATATCAAAGTCATCCGGCGGGCGAGTTTGACTCCTATGGTACTTAAAGTGTCACTTTCTCTAATCCTGTATGTGGACCATCTAGCAGTACGAACACCTCTCTGCCCCCACGTCACCCGGCTACATTTGTTTTTAGAAAAGTCTGACAGTTGTAACGTTTTTACTCATTGTCATGTACGGTAGTCTAGTGCGCTTGCGCAGATACTTTCTGCTCAATGAAACTCATTATTTTTATTCATTTTATACACTTTACATCGAATAAAGACGAGATAAAATATAAGAGGATGTTTTTATTGATGATTTTTAGAAAGACACACAGAAAGCTAATAAACATTATTCACCATTCACTGTTACAGAACAGAATACCATTAAGTATTAAGAGAAAAGCCACACACATGGTTGTAAGAAGCGCACTAAGACTAATGAATAGCGGGTCGTCGTGGCGTAGGGGCAGAGAGGGTCCGCTAGGAACTGCAAGGTTGGTGGTTCAAGTCCCAGCTGCCCCATGTCCCAAGTTGAAGTGTCCTTGAGCAAGACACCTAACCCCTAATTGCTCCCCGGGCAAAAATGTAAAAAGCCATGGGTTAAAAATGTAATGTAAGCTTTGGATAAAAGCTTCAGCTAAATCACCTGTGATGTAATAATGAATACAGAGAAGATGATACAGCTTCATAGCTTCCTCTTCTGCCTCATGGCCACCATGTTAACATAGATGTCTTCTTCTTCAATGAAAAGCAGCAGAGACACGAGCAGACTTTACACGCTGGGGAGGGAAAAGCTAAAGCAAAGACATTCGCAAGTTACTTTGCGGTATTATTTCACTTAAATGTAACGTTTTGTTGTTTTCTTAACCTCCCACCACTTGGGAGCGTAATGACGCTGTAAATTAGGCCACAAGGTCGATATAATCAGCAGCATTACAGGAACAGGTGGTTGTTATTGTGAGGAGCAAACAGTTTGTAAGGACGTGCAAGAAGGTGCAAGTGTTGTTTGATGGTGTGTGATAACCAACGGAAAAGGTGTTATGATATATTATTAATTTAGAGAAGGAAAAGGTGGGTGAAGAAAAACAAAGTGATCTGTCTTCTGTTTGTATTTGGAGAAGAAATCAATTACCATCAAAGACAAACTGGACTTTTTCAAGGATTTTGTCAAGCGTTAAAACAAGCGAGCAGCAACTAAAAGCTTCTTTTGATGGTCAAAGGGGTCAAGTAGAATAAATGATTTGTCTTCTTAAAGCAAACAGTGCAATTTATAATCTCATTATTAGGAGATGAGGATATATCGCGACAATAATAATACACTATGAGCCTTTCAAAAGTCAGTGAGTAACAAGGAAGGAATTGTTATGTTTGACCTTCTGCCTCTTTGTAAATTTATTCGTATTATCATCATTATGAATATTGATAATGAATTATGCATTAATGCATTACAACATTCACAATGACACAAGCTGGTGTGTTTCTGCACACAATCATATTGTAGAAAAGGTTTTCTTACCACTCAAAGATGAGCAAAGTAGTGACGAGCAGAATGATTCCCAGGACCTTCACGATGACTTGAGCACCAACCAGTTGATCACCTGCAACACAACGACATGGTCACTTTTAAAATGTTATCACTCAAATCATAATTCCTGCAGCGACCTTCAAATACCAACAGACGTCCTGTCGATAGCTGAATGTGTAGCTCATTTCTGCATCCACAATAACATAATGTGCCTCCATCACTGCTGGTCACTTCACAGCCATGAAGACTTGATGATGATGAGAAAAGATCAGGGGTCTCTTTGTTAAAGCAGTGCGAAGGATCCCCTCTAAATATGTGCTCACGTTCGAAGGAGGAAATGCACACACTCCAAAACACATCCAGATGTGTAAAGCATCGCGTTGCCAGTGAGCCATTTCCTTTTAATAAAACCCAAATGAACCTGTGACGGTGCACGGCTGAACAAAAAGTTGCATCTCTAACAGAGTAACAAGTGTAATACAGTTCTGTGTTTACCTCCTATAGTCAGATGGATCTCTGATGATGTTTGATTACCAAGCTGATTGGTGGCCACACAGTAATAAACTCCTCCATCAGTGACATTGAAGCTGTAAAAGTCTCCTTCAGATACTTTGATTGGTGCATCTCTGCTGGTCTTGAACCAGGTGAAGCGGCTCACAGGAGGTTTGGCTCTGCTGGAGCAGGTCAGGTTCACCCGGCTACCTGCTGACACCCGACCTGATGGACTGATGGACACCGAGGTGTTCTTGGGAGCGTCTGAGGAACATGTGACATTAAAACGTTATGCAGCTGACATTGTGTGAACACATGAATCATCGTATGCTGACAGGATCAAAGAACAAACACTCACATGAAACACTGAGAGTCTTTCTCTCCTCTGACGTCTTTACATCTTTTCCTTCATTCACAGGATATCTGGCAGAACAGCTGATGATGAATCCATCATGTTCATGTGACAGAGTGATGCTCTTCTGGATTCTAGTTGTGAAGGTTCGATCTGTGTTTTCCTCTATCATGTGGTGAGAGTCTGGTTGGAGGTTCCAGGTGAGTTGAGGAGGAGAGTGTGGACAGGGAGTGGAAGCTGAGCAGCTTATAGAGACAGACTCCTTCTCCTTCACATCACCTGAGATCTCAATCCTGGGCTTTGGAGGAGAATCTGTGGTTCCAAATCAAATACAGATTGTACACTGAAAAAAGAGCAACAAGACTTGAGTCTACGGTTTGTGATGAAAGTACTCTTCTACATTTGAGAGCAAAATGTTTTACTTTTACTCCACTATCAGATCATTAATTGTTTTTCTTTATTAAATAATGTGTTTGTTTGAGGCTTCTAGTTAATTTTCTGATGTTTCTGAATGTCAGCAGATTCATCAATATTTTCCCTCTGAACTTTTCACATTGCTTCATTTAATAATTCCACTACTTGATAATGAAGTAAAGATTCCCAAAAAACAACTTTTGAAACTTTTTAAAGCATTATATGCGTAGAGTGGCACGTACAGGCACCTTTCTAATGGGATTATTAATAGTAGTGAATAAATCCCTTAAGTGCAAACATTTACTTCCCTGGCTGAAATATGTAAGTATTTACATTCAAGTTAGTTTCTGAATAATAACAGCATAGATTGTCTTATGAAAAACCAAATTCTCTTACCTTTAACTGTTATTTCAAGATAATCACAATCAGCCGTTGCTAGAAATGGACGGTTCTCAACCCTGAAGAAGAATCGGTGTGTGTATGTTGTCTTCAAATTGGAAAATAAAGTGGTGCAGATTTTCTGACTCAAGTCTCCAGTAAAACTCATCGGATACGTGGAAACTGTCCCACTACTGTTGAAAACCACATTATTTGGATTGTTAAAAAAGTCCGAACTTTTTATCATCCACACTCCAAAGGTTGTTGTTGCGCTGTTGATTTTCTCTCCTGATTTAATGCTGAAGTTACATGGAATTTGTAAACAAGATCCCGTCAGTGCTTCCATCTCTTTTGGTGCAGTGATGAATAGATCTGAACCACAATCAGCAGAAGCACCTGTGAAACAAACTAATGATTAAAAGCGGTGATTAAAATGTGTAAAAACACATTAACATGAACACAAAGAGAAAAATACTTCAGCAGTAATGTTTTGTGTTGTGTTCTTTTTTTCCCTCAACAGTTTTTGTGTTGATTCATCTTTTTGGTTTTACAACTTTCCCCCACAAGGCCGAGCCCAGTGGGACCAAACCCGTCTCTCTCTCCAAATAACTACGTCACTTTTGTCTCCGTGATAATAGAGCTCAGCAGGAAAACACAGATTGTAACATTCACATGAATTTAGGTTGAAATGATATTTTCCAAACAGTAAATGATTGAAGTGAAACACAAGTGAGTGAAGATGAAGCTCACCTGAGAGGAAGAAGACACTGTGCAACACGATGGCTGTCACCATCCTAACAGACTGGTCGGCCATGACACTCACCACCTGATTCACAAACACAACATCAGTGTTCTAGGAAGCGTTCAACATGCTGTCTGCAACCACAAGTTCCTGTGTGTGAAGAGACCACAGCTCACAAGTCTGTGGACGAGTACGACTCTGAGTGTTGGATGAGAACAAAACTATGTGAATCCTGGTAATTCATTGGTGCACCTTTGGTTAAATCCAGTAGACTGAATGGACAGAGAAAACTACGGTCACTTGCCTTAGTTATGAGTTATGACTTTGATGGTGAATCCTGAAAATTCCTGGACGCACACTCGCTGCTATAAACAGATAACTAGAGATGAGGTTCAGAGTAAAGGGGAGACGGTGAAAACCACCAGACTAATATCCTGCCACCATTGTGTAAATTCATGTCAGAACATTATTCTGGACGTTAGAATCAAATGCAATCATAGGTTGAATTCCTTCAAAGGGAAGTTTGTGTAAGAATCAGTTGGAACAGTTGAAATTACAACTGAGGGAAAAGGAGAAGAAGGATGCAGCTCAGCAAGAAAGAAAGCAAAAAAGAACATTTCAGTAAAACTCATCGGATATCTGGAAACAGTCCCGCTACTGTTGAAAATCACATTATTTGGATAAAGGCCAAAGCGAGAGTCATTTTTAATCCACATTCTAAAGGTTGTTGTTGTGCTGTTGAATTCCTTTTCTGGTTTAACACTGAAGTAACATGGAATTAGCAAACAGGCGCTTCCATCTCTTTTGGTGCAGTAATGGATAGAGCTCTATTCTTATCACAACCAGCATCAACCCATAACACAGAGCGGACTTACAGGAGTTATGATCCAAATGTGTGTCACAATAGTGGAGATCAAGGACGTTGGCGAGCAGAGTGTCCTGAGCACAAAAGGATGAGACCTTCACACCAAACGTCTGTGGACGAGTACGACTCTGAGTGTTGGATGAGAATAAAACTATGAATGTCTCCCTCTTACCAAAGAAGCCCACGTCCATAACAGAGGGACAATTAGATCAAGTGCAGGTCTTTGTTTTAGCAGAGTTCTCCCCTTAACTGCTCATATCCGTGAGTCTATATAATCTTTGTGTGTCACACACATCACAATAATAATAATGTAGCATTAACTGTCAGTGACTTGAGTTTAGTCCCTGTGAATAACTGAGTCTCTGTTGCTCTGCATTACAGGACTGGTGAACCTGAAACACTTTCATTGTGTTATTACAATTTAAACTTTAAATAAATGACTTTAGCTAAAACATTTCCTCATTCAGAGTTTTTACTTCCTCTTCAACTCAAGTATTTATTCAAATTTTGCACACTCTCACTGCATCGATACAACAGGCATTCGGTAAACTTGTTTGTGAATAATTTGAAAGAAATCTCTTGTAACTTGATGATATTTCAATAAAAAAGGATTGTAAATCCATAAAAATGAAGTATTGAAGGCGACATTAACTTACATTGAGTGAGTGTTTCTTCTTCAGTGCAGTCTGCTGTCTGACAAGTTCAATGCAGAAGTCACAGGTCTTTGAACCAAGATGGTCTGTGAGAGGAAGGAGGAGGAACTGGGAGGTGGAGACAAATATCACTGCTGGTCTTCCTGCAAACGGCAAATAAAATATAATTCACACACGCTTGTATTGTACTAAAACCACAACAAAAAATACCACAACGTCCATTAATTCACCAGCCAACTATTAAATAAAAGTCCTATAAATGATTAAATGAAGCATTTAGCGTCTGATAAATACCATCTCCCCTATTTATGTGGACCTTATGGATGCATTCGTAATTTTTGAAATCATATTACGATCGAAAAAGGTTTTAAATAAAAGCACACTGGATATAGTTAAAGAAAGAAATGGATTTAAATCACCAAGCTGATTGGTGGCCACACAGTAATAAACTCCTCCATCAGATACATTAAAGCTGTAAAAGTCTCCTTCAGATACTTTGATTGTTGCATCTCTGCTGGTCTTGAAGCAGGTGAAGCGGCTCACAGGAGGTTTGGCTCTTTTCCTTCATTCACAGGATATCTGGCAGAACAGGTGATGTAAATATTGTACATTTACTGAATGTCAGCAGATTCATCGACATTTCCTCTCTGAACTTCTCACATGTCTTTGTTTAATATTTACACTTCTTCATAATGAAGCAAAGATTAGAGAAAAGTCCCAAATATGAACTCGTATGTGCAGCAGAAAATGTTTTCTCTTCTTTTCCCACCAATCACCTCATGACTCGTCATATTTCATAGAATTTTCACTGCCTAATGTCGTGAAAACACTGATGGTAAATAGTCCACAAGAGTTTTGTAACTTTCCTTTTTCAAGTGTGAGTAGTGAACTAAAAATTCATTCATATCCAGGAAGTGTAAACATTTCATTCCCTAGTTGGTGTCTGTACATATTTATAGTCACACAAATACAAAACCTTTCATTTCAGTGCAGATTATAAAACAAACAAAATGTGAATTAACACAACCTGTAGGAGCCATATTGAGGTGTATTTCATGTTTCTTTCTTGTGAATAGTAGTGAGTAATATGGCCACAGGTCTGTTTACCCCACCTAGAGGACGGTTGGGAGGCTGAAGTTGGAGCCCAAGGAAAGGCTTTAAAGACAGGAAGACACAGCAGTGGGTTTGTCCTGAGAGGGAAACAGTCTTTTGACCGTGTGGTGGAGAGACGTGAGGGACATGACGTGACAAGCCGTCTCCCACCATATAAGAGACTGCTTCAGTTTAATTGTTTGTTATTTTCACCTCATGTTTTTGGTTTGTACATTCTTTATACATTAAGAATAATAAATGGTCATTGCACCGAACCGGATCAACTTCTACTCCTCATCTTTACAAACTGCACGCGTCAAGATATATGCACCTCAGCCACCGGTAGAAGCTGATCAGGGAGTAAAGGGACGAACGGAAAAGGCTTCTACAGAACCAGTTAAACTCTTTGCCTCATCAAATAGGCCCACAGCAAAAAGGAGAAACAGAGACGTCTTCAGATCGTGGAGAAGTGCTACAATTGAGGAACTTTCAGGAACGTGTTTGAGCAAGATAACAAACTCCATATTTAACCACAAAAAGAAGGTTAGAAACCTAATGA